TATACAAAATATACTACGGACCTATCTTACAAAATTATTTAGGCTTCGTTTCGATACCACTAATAATCTAATATAAACTATATAGACTATACGGCGAAGAATAATCTGCACGTTATTTTAGAAAACATCTACATGGAGGACCGTCTACATGCTGTTAAAATGGTAGCACGTTCGAAAGACGTGAATATAGATTACACTTCTACGACCACAAGGAAAGCGCGTAAACGAAAACGATCCAGCCAGATAGGCGACAAAACAGGCGAAAGCGGCCCCCCTGACAAGCTAAGGCATATCAGAGACTCTGATAAGGAACGACCAAAAGAAGGTCAAGCTCTCATCCATTCTACTGTCATGGTTGAATATCAGGAAAAGGATGGAGAAACCCTCATATATCTTGGTTGGTTGGTAGGAACAATAAAGAGCTACAATAAGAGGAAAGGTTATTTAATTGAATTTAAAAATCAGAAAGATAGGTTAGGCAGGGACACTGGAGACTGGACAGACTGGATTCCATCTGTAAATAGTCCAGATGTAAAAATACAGTAATCATAGCATATAAATATTGCATATTAATTGACAGTTAGAATTATTGCCAATGTTATAGCAACTTTGACTATAAGTTTGTAAGTAGTTTACTTAAATTTTATAGTATTTAGATTGAGAATAGAATATTATTATCATTATTTTTATTATTATTATTGCTTGTTTTATTAGGCGGTGCTCACTGTCTGCGCATCGTTATTGCGCATATTATTTTCACTTGGGAAAATGTTGTAAATTGTCGGGAAATGCTTCATGTGTCATAGCATCAGTAAGTATGGGAATGATGCATATATTTGATATTTTAAAACTTGTTTGATTTTCTTCATTTTAAAATTTGTATGATTTTCAAACTCGGAGAAATGGAGCCAACAAGTTTGAAAATCCATTTATCGCATATTTTCGCATCATTCCCGTTCTTCAAAATGAAGCATTTCCCTTGTTTGAAGCATTTTAAGTTTATATGAAAAAATAATTTATCAAAATAGCATTCAAGTAACCTACTCGCCAAGGCGATTTTCAGTATTCGCCGTATAGTCTATATAGTTTATATTAGATTATTAGTGGTATCGAAACGAAGCCTAAATGATTTTGTAAGATAGGTCCGTAGTATATTTTGTATAGTATATTTCAGCAAAAGTATATTTTTAAAAGTAATTTATATATAATTTTTTGTGTGTGTTTTGATGTTATGTACTCAGGTGAATATAATGTTTTTGATGTTACTCTGAGTGTATATCCACACCGGGCAGGCTGAAAAGTTAGCCTGACCACTGTGGGAATCGAACCCTGAACTAGTATCCCAAAGGTCGCGGGTTCGTTTGGGAACTAGAGAGCTCAAATAGTAAAAATTATCCATAATCTTACCCAATTAAATACTGCACATGTACTTGTCAAAGTTTGAAACAATGAATGACGAACCTCAACAGCGAAAGTTGCCATTGTCTGATCGGTTTTCTCATGCCGGAATATCTTGGATTTCTTAAGTGTGAAGAAAGTGAAGTCGTTCCCAGATTTACGGGTACGGGTACGTGTATATCACCCGTACCCGTAAACCGGAACCGGGGTATCTTAACCTCTCTACTGCTAATATGCTGAACGAAACGAGGCCGTTAAGTCATGGAATAACGGCTTCGTCTTGATACTGCTAGTATACTGAACGGAACGAGGCCGTGAAGTCATGGCATAACGGCTTCGTCTTGATACTGCTAGTATACTGAACGAAACGAGGCCGTTAAGTCATGGCATAACGGCTTCGTCTTGTTACTGCCAGTATACTGAACGAAACGAGGCCGTTAAGTCATGGCATAACGGCTTCGTCTTGATACTGCTAGTATACGAACGGAACGAGGCCGTTAAGTCATGGCATAACGGCTTCGTCTTGATACTGCTAGTATACGAACGGAACGAGGCCGTTAAGTCATGGCATAACGGCTTCGTCTTGATACTGCTAGTATACTGAACGGAACGAGGCCGTTAAGTCATGGCATAACGGCTTCGTCTTGATACTGCTAGTATACTGAACGAAACGAGGCCGTTAAGTCATGGCATAACGGCTTCGTCTTGATACTGCTAGTATACTGAACGAAAGAGGCCGTTAAGTCATGGCATAACGGCTTCGTCTTGTTACTGCTAGTATACTGAACGAAACGAGGCCGTTAAGTCATGGCATAACGGCTTCGTCTTGATACTGCTAGTATACTGAACGAAACGAGGCCGTTAAGTCATGGCATAACGGCTTCGTCTTGATACTGCTAGTATACTGAACGAAACGAGGCCGTTAAGTCATGGAATAACGGCTTCGTCTTGATCTGTATATAATACTATTATTAATGGTATGATTTTTTACCGACGTTTAAAACGGCCGCAAAATGACTGATATATATAGACGAGAATAATGACTTAATTCGTTATTATCTATTCATTCCGCAATTTGAGTTGATTTTATTTTGCTGTACACACGCATCGCTTTCAAGCAGCGGACCATACACGGTCGGTCGAACAAGGGAAAAGTTGCGGGTTTTCAACAATGATCATCGTTATATATTGCACTGTATTCTCGGTAATTCTTCAGCCAGGCGACGTTGAAGTCAAATGATAGTGTCCCTCGCAAAGTTTCTGTTAGCCTGCGAGCAGGCTCTCTGGGGAAAGAGAGCCTGCAAGGATCCCTATGATGATTGCGTGCCGCCCTTCAATTATGATGTCACAGGTCAATTAATAACAACCAATCAGCGCAGACCGGAATACACTACGATATTGTAAACATAAACCGATTCGTTTCAAATTCGTTAATAGTTTCGTATACAGACCGCCACTGTGGCATACTAAAAAAGTTAAAACGGCTCGAGGTTTTACAGAGTAATATATCAAGTTGTACTTTTTATTACAATCTGCATGTGTTTCTTCTGTAGGCACAGTAAGTTTGAAGTTGTATATTACCCGCTAACTAATTCAGTTATTTGGAATTGCTTCGTGCTGCAATATATAATATATACTGTATACAGTCTATATATACAGTAATAATATAACTTACTGAAATTTATGGCTTTGGTGAGACATAGACATATATGATATACCATGGACATTGGACATAATTTAATAATATGTTTATAGTTCAAATTTTGCAACAAAAAGTGGAATTGCAGTAAAACATGCATGTGATAATTATTGTAAACAAAGTGACGAGTAAATTACTGTACATTTTAACGCCGCATACTTATAAATATTAAATAGTCAGTACAACATTGTAAAACAAGCTTAATACACACAGTATGCACTGAATATTATCAGAATTCCCAATATTGTTTCATAAAAGAGAAGCGATATAATGCCTTGTCCCTAGGTTTCGGTTTGCGAATTTGTGCAGTCTTTCTCAAGAATTATTCTTCGCTTAGGAGTCAGACAAGCCAAGGACACAATAAAGCATGCAAGCTTTTAGTATTCGTCTTTATATGAATACTATATTAATTTACAGTAAAAAGTCAACCAGGATCAAAATACATGACACTTTTATCTCTACATTGCCGCAATTCCGAAGCTTTGCGTTGCTCGGTTTTACAAAACGGGAAGTGTAAGTTTATGGAAGCTTGTCAATCACTTCATATGAATCAGTTATCAACCAATCAGAGCACTGCGTCCAAATATTGGACGCATGCACCGAATCATCAAAGGGATCCTTGCAGGCTCTCTTTCCCCAGAGAGCCTGCTCGCAGGCTATGACCTATATATTAAATCTCTCAATTTCTACTGGGATATATGTTGATGATTGGAAAAAAGCTAGGGTAATACCTGTTTATAAAACAGAAGATAGAACGAAATGTGAAAACTATCGCCCAATATATATATATATATATATATATATATATATATATATATATATATATATATATATATATATATATATATATATATATATATATATATATATATATGTTAGTTGTGTAATTGTACACTCTGTAATATGTTAATGTAATATATCACGACACGCAAGCAGTATAAACAAATCAAATCACTTTATTAAATCCTATTCTAGTTCCCTGCAATCAATGCACTATATTCTTGTCCTGTATATTGTCTAGCAATCCCGTTTGTTATTGTCATCCGATATCCTTTCTTGACCCTTGCACGCGACCTTTATTAATCATTAGACACCTTCGTATACTACATGACTACAGCAAAAAACCTACGTTATTTATGTACAAGTGGTGAAAGCTTTCATTTTTTGCTTTTTATACTACAATTTTGGAAAAATGACCCTGCATTATCAAACATGTTTTCGTCCATTAAAATCTCATTTGGGTCATGTACTGTATAGTATATACTCTCATTTGGGTCATGTATTATATACTCATTTGGGTCATGTATTATATATATATATATATATATATATATATATATATATATATATATATATATATATATATATATATATATATATATATATAGGGGTTTTTGAATTACCCGTCCGCTGGTAAACGGGAAAAACGGATTGGTTAGTATTTTTATGTAGTTGTCAATCAACGGCTAAATTCGGTTAAATGTTAATCATTAACCAAATGTTTTGACGTTTTGAAACTCTGCGTTTTGAAATTAGTTCACGTCAAGTCAGACCAGAAATGGAATAACATAATCAAAGAAGCAAATTAAAAGATACAAGCTGAAAAATAACACTCTAAATAGTGTTATTGATAGAGATTCGAACAAGAATATTTAACAAAGAAGATACGTCCGAAGGGGCCGAAGTTATGATCGGCGAAAGGTATGGGCTAGTCTATACTTTCGTTCAGACAATTACATGCGTATTAATAATTTGATAATATACTATCTCGCTTGACTTTCAAAGGCCACAAATCGCAATAATGTTGACATTTTACTAAAACTATCGATAGAAATTAGGAGATATTTCTTCACTGAATCGAACAGTACGTGGGATTTCCATATAGCCATAGGCCTATCAGTCATGTTCTGAACCAAAGATACTTGATAGATATTATATACGAACCTCCAAAGTATAAACAAGGGGCCGGTTGATGCAGTAATTATCAAATAACTGTTAAACTCTTATATACCCGTTGAATATGTATAGTTGTAAACAAATAAAAACTATCGTTCTATAAGGTTCAATACTTTCAGTTTGGTTGTTGACTGATGATGAATCTATAGTATAGACTTGTATGCTTTGTATTTTGAGCTTATTAAACCACCGTTTTAAGGCAGCTATAAACGGGCTTGGTTATATTAACACATAAAATAAATTCCTTGATTCTCATCACTAGACACAGTCTACACTTTGAAATGTCAAAGACAGTGGGAGATTTATTTTTTATATTCTATATTTATATAATTTATATATCAATAGTTCGTATCTCCACGAACAATGACAGAATGACTGAATTTCTTTAAAATACAGTGAAATTTCATTCAAAATTCTGTTTGTTTCAAATTGGAAATTTAAAATGGCAATAAAAAACCTATATAAAATATTTAAAAATTAACTGTCTTGAATTATTTTTTCGGGCCGTACATTTATATTGTATAACAAAATATAAAACATTTTCACGAGGATTTTAAAATTCAGTCGGGCGGTGATGAGAATCAAGGAATTTATTTTATTTGGGCAGTTGGGACTTGGGAGCAACTTGGGAGTGGCTAATTTTGAATATTTACTTAATGACATCTATAAATAGCTTTGATGCTTCAGGGGCGGTAGTTCATTTACACCCAGTTTTGCGGCAGGCGGTATTTCCTACGTACCGCCTGCCATGCAGGCTAGTTTAAACAGGCCTTTAGACACCTTCGTATACTACTCAAGCTCATCTAAATTAAAGTCCTGGTAACGATCAGGTGGTCGGCGCTGACGGCTAGATCTCCTTAGAGGTACCATGTTCGTTGCCTCAACTTCCTTGTGAACTATCGGTGATTCAGCAACTCTCTGCTTTTGGGTTTTCTCGCTCTTGGTCGACAATGGAGATGGCATGTCTTGCTCGTTAATGTCATCCGTCTGATTCTGTACCAGTTTGAGTCGATTGCGGTGCACACACGAACTCCTTCCTTTTCCCGATTTTGGACGAATCACATAGTTTAAACGTCCTTGACAACGGAGTATGACGTACGGACCAATCCACGGTTTGTGGAACTTTCTACTGCGTCCTTTCGGTATGACAGTGCTATGTAACCATACAATGTCTCCGGGTCTCAGAATTTCTGTCTGATGAGCAGTGTTACGTGCATCATAATTTTGCTTTTGCTGGGTCTGTGCTTTCTTGATTTCCTCAGCAACCGTCGCGTGGACCTCTTTCAGCGTAAACTCAAGTTCAGCATAGTAGTCGGCAATCAACTGGGTCTTGGGCTTCTCCGTGCTGCCCAGTAACACGAGTGGCGTAGTAGCATCTCTCCCATAAACTGCTTTAAATGGAGATACGCGTGTCGAGGAATGGACACTTGTTCGATATGCGAATAAAGCCAAGGGTAAATGTAAATCCCAGTCGTTGTGATGACCATTTACGTAGGACGAGATTATTGCTTTCAGTGTACGGTTGAACCGCTCCACTTGGCCGTCAGTCTGTGGGTGATAAGGTGATGTCCGCAACTTGTGAACGCCCAACAGCTTGAATACTTCTTTCATGAGCTCCGACCCAAAGTTTCTACCTTGATCAGTGAGGAGTTTCACAGGAATGCCATGTCGAGACACTACGTTGTCAATAAACGCACGAGCTACCGTCTCTGCTTTCTGATCAGCCATTGGGACCGCTTCGACCCATTTAGTGAAGTGGTCACTCATCACTAAAACAGACTGGTGCCCTCGTGCTGTTATTGGAAGGGGTCCTAAGATGTCCATTGCCCACAACTCCATTGGTTGAGATACTCGGATGTTCTCCATGGGGGAACGGTGGGATGCTGACGACGATTTCCTTTGGTTGCACACGTCACACTCTGCAACCCACAGATGCACCTCGCTGGTCATTCCAGGCCAGTAATACCACGGCTGCAAACGTTCGACGCAGCGATTAATACCCATGTGCCCAGAACTAGGATCATTATGAGAGAGCCGCAACAGATCCGCACGCATTTTCCGAGGAACTACAAGAACGAGACCATCTTTCCGACCACTTGTTGATACGCGTCGATGCAAAACACCGTCAATTATTTCCAGTTGTTTCCAAATTTGCCGATAACGACGAAGTTCACTATCATCTGTCCAATCACTAGGAGCTTCTTGTTCGGCCGGCGTGTTCAACTTTGCCTGAAGTACAGTTGAGACAACTGGATCATCGTGCTGTGCCTGACAAATCTCTTCCCGGGACCATTCGGTTTCAATAAGGGTGGGTCTAACCCCGATGACGATCTCCTCATCCGGTAAATGAGGATGACTGACGACTGTAGTTGGAAGAGAAGACCGTGAAAGTGCATCTGCATTACTGTTCTCACGACCCGGGCGGTGTACGATGGCAAAGTCATGTTCTTGAAGGGTTAAGATCCAACGTGCTAAGCGACCTTTGGGTTCTTTTAGTCCCTGAAGCCAAGTTAAACTTTGATGGTCGGCAACCACTTGAAACGCCTTTGCCAGTAGGTAGGGACGCCAGTAGTGAATGGCCCACACAATGGCCAAACACTCTTTCTCAGTTGTTGAATAGTTCATCTCCGCTGATGTCAATGACCGACTAGCATAGCAAACGACATATTCGCTAGAACCAACACGTTGCGACAACACTGCTCCAAGACCAGAATCGCTAGCATCAGTGTAAACAGTGAAAGGAATCATAAAAATTGGGCAAGGCAAGGATAGGTGAAGTGGATAAGTGGGTTTTTAGGGTATGAAACGCTTGCTGTGCTGCTGGTGTCCAACAAAATTCTCTGATGAAATGTTGAAGCGTTTACCGACGCTATTATCGGGCAAAGCGTTTGTAATGTTCGAGCGGCTTGGAGACGACAAAAAGGAAGATTTCAAAGTCCTTATAGCAGCGATAAAGGAAGCGTTCGGCGGCGATGAAACAAGCAAACATATTGCTATGATGGAGTTTCGTCGACGTGCGCGCAAGCCTGGAGAGGACATTCAAGTTTTCGCGTATGGGTTGGAAACATTGCTCAGCCGAGCGATCCCTAATATCGGGAATGACGAGAGAGATACGCTTTTAAAACAACAATTTATTGAAGGATCGTCTCCTGCGCTAAAACAGGAGCTATTGCAAAGACCGAGCCTGAAATACGAGGAGACCGTCAAGATTGCACAACAATTAGATTTGACACCCCAGCTGTCAAGTCCAAATGCTGATCATGATGTGAACCTGACGAGAGTTCAGAGAGAGAACGTATCTAGCAGCGAGTCAACAGTGGTGTGCCAGTTAAAGGAAAGCGTTGAGGTCCTCACCGAAAAGGTTAACCAACTTTCCGCATCGGTAAATAACATCAGCGAAGTGGCAGCGATACGAACGGAGAACCCCCGTCGTGGTAGAGCTTGTTATAACTGCGGCGGATTTAACCATATCGCGAAGGAATGTCGACAACCCAAGCGAAGAAATGATCGTAGAAGAAATGACCCTGGGCAACGCCGGAACGAGAATTACTGCTTTGTGTGTGGTGACCTCGGACATTTCGCCCGTGATTGTCAATATCGGTATCAAGCCCCACAACGACACCAGGGAAACTACCAAGGGCTGACCCGCTATTAGGCCTGGGGTCAGCCCGTGAAGACAACGCCATTCCAATAAACAGTGTCTCGCCAAC